TCTGATTTATAGAGAACAAACTGAAACGTATCCTTCACGCAAAAATGTCGGATATGTTACCAAACCACAGGGACAGGTTTGTGACACCACGAACATACAGACAACACTGCATGACACCTACGGCATATCCGTATGGGGCGACTAATGTGGGAACCCCCTGCAGACTGGGGAGTTGATTTTGTGCCCTCTTCTTGGGGAACAAAAGCGACCAACGTAAACCTGCTGCACCAGCTGCAATCCTTCGGATCTTTATATTTCTCTCTACTTCTAACACCTATTTTTATTTCCTAACGGCTTGTTTGACAACACATCACTTTTGGCTTTAATGTTTGAACGTTTCGCCCAGTTAAGAAAAGCAATGGGTTATGTCCTCAAGACGGGACATACCATTTTTTGAACAAGTGGTAGTTGTTATTCCCTGCTTGACGTTCAGCATTTGGGGGTAATGCCAACAGCTGGCTACCATGTTGTCAGCATAATGTGACCGGCGGAATGCTGTGATGGGTGCCTTCGGCATGGTGATCGGTGACGTTGCACTCTTAAGTTGGCATCAGATCCGCTCTATCACCAGGAGGCAAATACACCAACATACCATGCTTTCAACAATCACACACACACACACACATACACGAGTATACAACACACATGGACGCACATCCTTAAAGGACCATAGCTGTTGATAGGACGTTAAACCCTTTCCAACTAACCACTGTATATGACCACAATGCAGTAATCACAAGGGGAGGTAATTCTGACAGAAGAATACTGTCGGGCAGTAGAACCTATATAAGTCCTGTTAACTGGTCTCGTTCAATTGTATCACAGCGTACATGAAGTCCACTTCGAACAGTGCTTTTAAGCCTTATATGGATTATCCTAGTATTTATCTAATTCATAGATTCCGGAATAACTGTAAAGATGGTGCATTTAAAATACAAAGCATATTCGATGGTAGATTGTTCCGTGTGTAATCACTCGCACTATAATATAATTCGACCATTTACCAATTTCAAACTGTATAACATTACATGAATCAATGACATCCTGTGGAAGACTGTTCCCTATATCAACAACACGGAAAGTAAAGACTTTTTTCCTTATATCAAGGTGACAGTGTTTTTTTTTTAAAAAAAAGCTCTTCTACTTATATCCCACTGAAACATGCTTTCAGTCACTCTAGGATCATAAAAGTTTTTCAGTCTTCAAGACGTTTATAAAGTCTCCTCGCATCCGACGGTGCTTTAAGGTTGGTAGATTTAATCTCTGCAGACGCTCTGTATACGTCGTATTACTAAATCCAGGTATGATCTTGGTAGCTCGTTTCTGGACGTTTTCAACTAAACCAATATCCTTGCTCCTGTATGGACTCAATACACTAGAGGCATATTCTAAGTGTGGTCTAACAAGCGCCTTAAATAAAAGTTTGAACATATTTTCATCCAGATAAGTGAATGTTCTTCTAATAAGGCCAACAATACTGTAAGCTGTGTTAACATTAAATTGAATATGTGTCCTAAGGTTTAGATCTTCACCACAGGTACATTGTACATCGATATCTTTTTCACACGTTATGCTCTCTAGTTCTATTCTCCCTCCTGATGCTCCAAGCATATAGTATATTCTATCTCGTTTGTTTTTAGAATTTGAGAAGCCATTTCGCAGACCAATCCTGGAGTTTGTTAAGATCTTTCTGCAGTCTCCGTATCCAGATTGCTCTGTATTTTCTTTGTACAATTTGGTGTCGTCGGCGAACAGGGGAGATGGCGAATCTGTTATTTCGGCAAATCATCATGCAGATGACGAATAAAATAGGTCCTAAAACACTTCCTTGGGGTATCCCGCCGACTACTGGGTATATATCTGAAGACTCTCCATTTACTACTACTTTCTGTATTCTGATGGTTTTTTTTTAAAGTTTTCTACCCGCGTTTTTATTTGGTGACGGATGCTGTATCCTTGAAGCTTCTTTATAAGTAGCCGATGGGGTACCTTGTCAAAAGCTTTCATAAAATCAAGGTAAATGACATATAATTGACCACCTTTATCTATAATTTGAGACCATTCTTCTCAAACTGTGAGGAGTTGAAGCTGTGTCGATCTTCCCCGAGAGAAAGCCAAACTGCCTGTTGTTGAAGAGATTATTTCTGTCCATGTGGTCGACAATTTTATCCCTCACCAGTTTTAATCTACATGTACCACGGATTATACCATTTGGTATGGCGTTAAGTTCATCTTAGAACCACTCATAGATATGAATGGGTCAAGTCTAGGAGCATAGTAATAACTTCCTTCCTTGTGACAAAGCTACTGTTTTCATTTTACTTTTTCTTACAAAGGAGGGGTGCCAATTTGGGCCTTCTGGTGGCTATCGCTGATAAGTTACATTTTTTTTCATATACATACATTGGGTAACGTTATACCATCATGATATGACAAGAAATTAAGGTCAACTTGGAGGCGATTCCAAGATATTAGGGGAAAAGTGGGGGACCAACATCACACATGGTCTCTTTTTTACAAAACAACATATAGTTTCTTCATGATTTTGATTTATTGTGTAACACTAAAGCTGCAAATAATAAAAATGGCCAAAAAGGGTAGCACATAGTTGATAAATAGGTCACTGTGACCTTGTTGTATATTGCCTCAATTATGTCAACTATTTTTCCTTTTTTGTGCCTAAAGCCTCTTTATCTTCTTTTAAATTGACCACCGAGTCGTTTCTTGCGCTTAGACTTAATATTTCAGTCTCTGTAGAAAAACCCCAAAGGAATACCAAAGTGTCAACAAAACCATAATTCGAACTCGAAATCGATAAAAATAGGGCAAGATACAACAAAGGAAAAATTAACACGGAGACCTTTCAATAAGAACGAGTAGAATAAGACCAGGTGTTTCAGAAGGATAAGCGTCTTCTGACTCATCTTTGACACCTGCCGTGTAAATCTAAGTCGAATCCAAGTATTTCACATCCTCACAACAAAACCTCAAGGCACTCTAAACAGCATAATAAAAAAAACATCGACCTTCATATTAATAACACAAGGAATTAGCATATTTCCGTGCGAGATCCTGATAGCGGCCAACTTTTCCAGTATTCGTCAACCAGCATCTTTGGAAACCCTTTGTTGTAAGTTTTTCCGTCAGTAGTCGACACCTGCCATGGAAGTAATGATATTCGGAGCACAATCTTGAGTCCCGAATCAACTGCGACATGCAAACATTGTAGATAAAGGAGTAGTATAAGTTTATCCACACCAGATATTCACATCTAAACCAATTGTTTTTGTAAATTTAACATTTTAGACCAAAAATGCAAGTCTATGAAAACAGTACTTGTGTATCAAGTAAGCAGACATCCATTTATCAAGGTCCACTGCAAAAAATGGGAAGGAGAGGGAACAAAGATTAGGAACTATCTTCCAATTGATCACCGTCAGGATGGGAGAAGGAATAAGGAAATATTTGAGCACTTTCCCATTGATCCAGCGCCAATATCAGGACGGGGTTAGAGAGCACCCTTTCAATGAATGAGGAGCCTTCTAAAGGGTAGAAGCAGAAACAAAGATTGGGGAACTCTTTCCCATTGATCAGAGAGCAATGGTTGAGTGGGAAAGAGGCAAAAAATGTGTAGAGAATCTGCAGTTATCAGGGGCCATCTTTTGGACTAGAATAACAAAGATTTGGGAAATCTCTCCCCAGTGATCAGTAGCCAAGGTAAGGGGTGGGAGAGGTGAATATGTTTAAGGGCATCCTCCCGAGTAATGAGGACCAGTGTCAGAAGGAGAGCAGGGACAAAGATTGGAGAGCAACTTTTTTTAAAATCAAGGGACAATGTTAGGAAAGGGGTAAAAGTTAGGGAACCCTCATTAATCAAGGCTAGGGAGCATCCATCAACCCTGATTTAATTACTGCTGTAACAAATAAATTAAAATAGTAACATTCTTCTTCCAAGACAGCAGTTATGAACTTAATCAGAAGACACTTCTGAGTTTCTTTAGCTGGGTTACCTGGATTTTAGTAAATGATTTAAATAATGTGTTTCACTTTGAATAACCAAACCTTGCATAATCTTTAAACCAATATCAAAATATTCGCCTCCTTGGTTACGCTGTAGACATTTATATCAGTCTTTTGCTTTTCCAGAAAAGTGGTGGTACATGACTGTCATCATAAGCATGATATACAGCATGTCTTACTGTTACATGTTTGCACTGGTGCGGCGATTTACCGATACATGTCAGGAGTGTAATTACTGAATTTCCATGCCCTAATGTGACCATAGCTGTTGACATGACCTTAAACCCTATACAATCAGTCTATAAATTAATTCTGAATTTCCAATCCTTGCTAGATTTTACAGTCTTGAATCTAAAAGATTACCAATGTTATTGTTTCCATACAAAGCAAGACTAAAATTACAGGTATGTTTTAAATATACATACCATGACATTGAAACGGGACTCCGAAGTGAATGGGAAAGAGAACTCATCATTGCATAAACCTATAGTACTGTATTTAAACACCAAAGGTTGTCTAATGGTGCATTGTCCATGGGATGGCAATATGATTCAGATATGCATTAGCAAATCAATGTAGCTCTACTTTCCATTTGATTGAACATTATCACTCTTTGAGAAAAGAAATGATGAGCAACAACACCACTGAATCCGGTACAAAAAGTAATGTTTGATTTACATCCTATGTACTTAGGATGTAAATCAAACATTACATTTTGTACCGAATTCAGTGGTGTTGTTGCTCATCATTTCTTTTCTCATTTGCTCTGCTTTCCCTGATGAGCACTGTTGAATACCATTAAGGTATCCACCCCAGGATCCCTACCGCCACTATGGAACTGACTTCCTTGCAAGGACGTTGGGTCTCCACCCCCGGACTGGAATTCTTTCCTGATATCAAAATATGAAAATAAGGGATCTTTTATCATTTTAATATGATAGGTAAATGAAGTAATAATGCCAGAACGAAACATCACTAACTTATGTTTTTTATAAGTTTTATTCACCTTATTCATATAAATTACATTTTTTGTATGCCTGTTTCAAGTTGATAGTTTTTGTAATATTCCATAAGTTCAGCACTAATCCTAGGTTTGATAACTGTAAGAGCTGCATCAAAGTTACGTTTATGTACAGTCTGGCTGTTAATGTCTTCTTGTAGGGCAAACATGGCCGCCTCGTGACACACTGCAGATACCTAGTAACAAAAACCAAAAAAAATGCTTTCATATCATTATGTACCCAGTAACATTAAAACAAAATGTCCAGTAACAAAAATAAGAGAATGACCTTATCATTCTTTTTATTTAAAACTATTATTAAAACTTACTTTGACACATAAGTAATCTGAGATAGACTTACCCCAGCACCGTTGTAATCTTGGGGTAGACTTACCTCAGCACCTGAATGATCTGAGATAAACCTACCTCAACCCCTGAGTAATCTGCAGTAAACCTACCTCAGCACCAGAGTAATCTGCAGTATACTTACCTCAGGACCAGAGTAATCTTGGGGTAGACTTACCTCAGCACCTGAATGATCTGAGATAAACCTACCTCAACACCTGAGTAATCTAAGATAAACTTTCCTCATCACCTGAGTAATCTGAGATAAACTTACCTATCACCAGAATGATCTGAGATAAACTTACCTCAGCACCAGAGTAATCTGCAGTAAACACCTACCTCAGCACCAGAGTAATCTGCAGTATACTTAACTCAGCACCAAAATAATCTGCAGCATACTTACCTCAGCAAGCACCAGAGTAGTCTGCAGTATATTTAACTCAGCACAAACATAATCTGCAGTATACTTACCTCAGCACCAGAGTAATCTGCAGTCTACTTACCTCAGCACCAGAGTAATCTGCAGTCTACTTACCTCAACACCTGAGTAATCTACAGTATACTTACCTCAGCACCCGAGTAATCTGCAGTAAACTTACCTCAGCACCCGAGTAATCTGCAGTCCTCCTCACTAGAGATTCCACCTCTACTTCCTTGTCAACTGGCATCTTCGCCAAGTTGATTCTGAAGATTTCCTGCCTCGTATCCGCATCTGGTAGTGGCACATACAGGATCCTGTCCAGTCTACCAGGGCGCATCAGGGCCTGATCATATACATATATCTTCAGGATTATGGCAAGCAACATGAAGGAAATTGTACACTTCATAAAGATATCACCAGAATGGAAAGAGACCTGGGATGTAGCAAACATGGAGAACACTATTATATTTCTCAAATTACTGATATGTTGAATGTATATTTCCAGATCAATCAATCACACAAACTGAAACTGTGATGATGTGTATTGCCATACTGAAGATAAACTTTTGTCACAAGGACATCATAAAATTTAGCTTCATTGTTGTAAGTTTCTTAATGTTTATCAGGAGGCTTAGTCACATTGTCCCCTACCTTGTCTATCATGTCAGGACGGTTGGTGGCTGCGATCACAGTGACATCTTGTAGACCCTCGACACCATCTATCTCTGTCAATAGCTGGGCCAGCACACGGTCACCAACATTGCCACCTCCTGAGGAACTGTTAACAAACACACAGCACAGACTTAACATGGTCACCAACATTACTACCTCCTGAGGACTGTTGACAAATGCACAGCACAGACTTAACATGGTCATCAACATAACTACCTCCTGAGGACTGTTGACAAACGCACAGCACAGACTTAACACGGTCACCAACATTACTAACTCCTGAGGAACTGTTGACAAACACATAGCACAGACTTAACACGGTCACCAACATTACTAACTCCTGAGGAACTGTTGACAAACACGCAGAACAGACTTAACATGGTCACCCACATTACTACCTCCTGAGGAACTGTCGACAAACACGCAGAACTGATTTAACACGGTCACCAACATTACTACCTCCCGAGGAACTGTCGACAAACATGCAGAACAGACTTAACATGGTCACCAGCATTACTACCTCCCGCGGAACTGTCGACAAACACGCAGAACAGAATTAACATGGTCACCAACATTACTGCCTCCCGAGGAACTGTCGACAAACACGCAGAACAGACTTAACATGGTCACCAACATTACTACCTCCCAAGGAACTGTCAACAAACACGCAGAACAGACTTAACATGGTCACCAACATACCAACCTCCCAAGGAACTGTCGACAAACACGCAGCACAGATTTAACATGGTCCCCCACATTACAACCTCCCAAGGAACTGTCGACAAACACGCAGCACAGATTTAACATGGTCACCCACATTACTACCTCCCAAGGAACTGTCGACAAACACACAGAACAGACTTAATATATTCATCACACAAGTAATAGGTTTTTAGGGAGGAGAATAAAAACAAGAGGCCCAGGGGCCTTAATAGCTCACCTGGTATTTTATTTTTCAATTTAAAACCTGCTGAGTACCATTCAGGTTTATCAAAGGAGTACAAGTAACAAAGTTGCATCTTCCATTTATAAATATTCAATTCCCTTTGCCCAAAGATTCTCTAAAACAAGTTTGGTTAGGTTAAAATCCCTTCAACGGTACAGAAGGAGAAGGATCTTTAATGTTTTCCTCTATTTCCCCTAATGGGCCCCACTAATCTGCCCCAAAGAAGGGGAATCCACACACCTCAGTTTAAACAAAATTGATTCTTTTCTCCCTAAGCATGCTTCAGACTGCATTTGGTTTAAATCCCTTCACTTGTATAGTAGGAGAAAAAAAATCCTCTATTTCCCCTATTGGGCCCCGCTCCTATGCCGCCAGAAGGCCCACACCCTCCGTTTATACAAACTTGAGTCTCCTTTGTCCAAAGATGCTCTAGGACAAATTTGGTCAAAATCCTTCAATTGGTTGAGGAGAAGATTTTTAAAGATTTACCTATTTTCCCCTATTTGGCCCCGTCCCTCTGCCCCCAGGGGGACCATACCCTCCGTTCATACAAAACTGAGAACCCTTTGGCCAATGATGCTCCAGACCAAATTTGGTCAAAATCCCTTCATCGGTACAAAAGGAGAAGGATATTTGATGTTTTCCTCTATTTCCCCTAATGGGCCCCACCCATCTGCCCTTAGAAGGAGGCCCACACACCTCAGTTTATACAAAATTGATTCTTTTGTCCCTAATCATGCTTCAGACTGCATTTGGTTAAAATCCCTTCACTTGTATAGCAGGAGAAAAAAAATCCTCTATTTCCCCTATTGGGCCCCGCCCCTCCGCCCCCAGAGGGGCCACACCCTCCGTTTATACAAACTTGAGTCTTCTTTGTCCAAAGATGCTCTAGGACAAATTTGGTCAAAATCCTTCAATTGGTTGAGAAGAAGAACATTTTTAAAGATTTACCTTTTTTCCCCTTATTTAGCCCCGCCCCTCTGCCCCGAGGGGGGGCTATACCGTCCGTTTATACAAAACTGAGAACCCTTTGGCCAATGATGCTCCTGACCAAGCTTCAGACTGCATTTGGTTTAAATCCCTTCACTTGTATAGTAGGAGAGAAAAAATCCTCTACTTCCCCTATTTGGCCCCGCCCCTCTGCCCCCAAAGAGGCCACACCCTCCGTTTATACAAACTTGAGTCTCCTTTGTCCAAAGATGCTCTAGGACAAATTTGGTCAAAATCCTTCTATTGGTTGAGAAGAAGAAGATTTTTAAAGATTTACCTATTTTCCCCCTATTTGGCCCCGCCCCTCTGCCCCCAGGGGGGTTATACCCTCCGTTTATACAAAACTGAGAACCCTTTGGCCAATGATGCTCCTGACCAAATTTGGTCAAAATCCTCTGAGCCATTCAGGACAAGTAGCATTTTAAAGGAAAAAGTTGCCGGACGCCGGACGCTGCACCATGGGATAAGCTCACTTGGCCCTTCGGGCCAGGTGAGCTAAAAAATGATATTCTGCTACTTATTGTGTCCAACACATTCCTCTTTATCATATATGATCTCACTTTCTCTTTTTAAACTCATAACAAGGCATCACAGACGATAATAATCACCCTCATGATTGGACGTGGTTGGAAATAATAAGTGTATTTATTTATTTATGGTCAATGGTATCAAGTATTTAATGTAAAATCTATGGTGATCTTAGAAATGTCCAAAACATGAACTTGCACAAGGTTATGTTTATCAACGTGTATCTCAAGTTTCATGATAATCATACAAGAGACATATTTTGTACAGCAATGATCAATTCCAAAATTCTTTTTATAGTAACAATGACCTTGTTTGTATCCCCAGAAGGTTGAAATGTGAACTTGAACACAAAGGGTCACAGGTAATCAAATTTACCTGTTTGTGAATTACGCACGGGTATACCGGTGCCCAGAGGCAAAACAAAAAGTTGGTTTATTGTTGTTTTAAAATGGTGTAGATAATGTCAAAAATTAAAAGACTCAAAAATATTATTGCTGCTAATTTTTAACACAAACAACCTCAGGAATAAGATCGACTAGACAATTTGCGAATTGAGGAAATAAAACAAATGATATTTAAAATCCCACTGTTTACCTTCCTCTTTCAACAGCAAGAGCATCAATCTCGTCAAAGAAGACTATAGACGGTGCAGCAGATCTGGCTTTTCTGAACACTTCTCTGACAGCCCTCTCTGACTCACCGACCCATTTACTGAACAACTCAGGACCCTGTAAAATATTTGCAAACAACTCAGGTCTATTGTGTACATTGATCTGTAAGCTTGTATACAGTGGAGTGAGGCTTAAACATGTGTGATATGTGTGATATTGTTTGAGCTACACAAGTGTGTGATTTAAACATGTGTATCAAAAATGAACAAAAGGTAAAGGTGACTGTAGGTGATATCTCAAGGAATTTATGAAGTGGATAATTGTTTTATTGAAAATAAACAAAGGGCCATAACTCTACACACTGTTAGGTGCCTAAGTAAATGTTTGTATGCAACATCCCAGCTTCCCCAGATAAGTTTTTAGTGGTGAGATAACAAAAAAGTAATGGTCAAGACGAAAGATTACTGACGCCCAGTCAGCCCTCCAACACAAAGCACACCATACGATCAATTGTCCCATCACTGATGGGTGTATGAAATTCAAACGTTCTACAGCAGAATCACTATATTTTTGGAACACAAAATGAAAAAGATAGCAATTATTCAACACATTATTATTAAGGAGCTATCAATGATATAAATAGACTAACCTTGACAGCCAGGAAGTTGAGTCCACTCTCTGTGGCCAGAGCCTTGGCGATCATGGTTTTTGAGCAGCCCGGAGGACCATACATGAGGACTCCTCTGGGAGGCTTGATGCCCATCCGGACAAAGGCCTCAGGATGTTTCAAAGGCCACTCCACCGCCTGCTTCAGCTTCAACTTGACCTCCTCCTGACCCCCAATATCACTCCATAGCACCTATAGGGTAAGATGTCAAGGTCAAATACGAACATGTATTACTCATTACCACTCTATTGGTCAAAGGTCTAGGATAAAATTTCAGAACATCCCTTAAATTATTTCCTAAGGGTTAAAGTTGTTTGGACATAATTCCTGATCATAAAGCTATCCAAAATCTGAGATGAAGTAAAACTGTTTATACATTTATATAACATCATTGCTAGCAATACATAGTATGTTGATAACTTGGTGCTCCCCAATAAATGAAGGTCATACATCAAACTCCAGAAAACAAGTACAAAATGTTATAGCTAATTTTTTCTCCACATTTTGCAAATCATAATCTTAAGACTGTTTGAACCAATATACAATTAATGACTGTTTATCAGGACTTCCTTGTACTAGAATCGTGACAATTAGACATTTGGGATTTCTAGGTGATTTAGTCCGACCTAAGGGATTTCTACCTGTTTCAATTTGATACATGGTATTTCTGTACAACCTTGGGAATTTCTAGCTATTTTAAACTAACCCTGGTTTTATTTTACCTTGGGGATTTCTAGCTGAACCTCCCTCATTGCACTAGGCTGCACAGTGGTCATAGCAAGAGCCATATCCTTCCTTGTTATAACTGGACTAGACATTGTTTGTAGGTCCTCGTGGTCCTGAAGGTATCGCTTCACAGCATTGACACTGGCTGTAAGATAAAAATAATTTATATTTCTTGCTTTTACTTTGTTATAAATAAGGCAAACATTTGCATATTTCGCATCTTTCCAGATACTCTAACATCAAGGTCATATCCACAAATGTAGTTCACTACTTATCATATAAATAAAGGCTACCTTGCTGACAAACATACGCCAGATCTGCTCCTACATAGCCATGTGCTGTGTCGGCCACCTCCGCCACATCTGTATCGCTGAGGGAATGGGGCACGGTAGAAATCAGACGCTGTAATATCTGTGAATGTAAACCAACACAAAGTTAAATATAATTTACAACTCCTCAGTAATGTAAAAGTTAAGTTTTCATGCTTTTACTCCTCTATCAATTCCTGATATTATTGATTGGTTGGTAACGCCGCTGAAATTTCACAGTTTATCCCTTTTTTTAACTGGGGATATTTACATTTCACAGTGTATCCCTTTTTTTACCTGGGGATATTTACATGTTAAAGCACAAAACTTCCTCTTTTACAACATAATCCATCATAAAAGTATTTGAAAGTACAACATACGAGTCTTGTATTGATTTTCTACTATTTTATCTCCTTGTATTATTTCTTCTTACTTTAACTAATATGCTATACTTGTTGGATGACCTGGCATTTGGTATTTATAACAGCAAAATGTAGGTGAACATTTTCTTTACATCTCAAATTGCTAAAGTTAAGAACCATGTCTATTTTCCTACTTTTTAAGAATTGTTTTTACTTGATGCCCAGAAATGCTTTGGTGGAATTGTTAATAAAGTTATCATTTTATTCATGAAATACAAGAGGATGTTCTGTTCTTTTGTTTTCCATGAGATCATGAAGAGTATGAACTAAGCCTGACCTCCAGTCTGTCTGCTGCCGTGGGAACACCAATCTCTATCTCCCTGTCAATCCGCCCTGGCCTTCTAATAGCAGGATCCAGGGAGTCAGGTTTACAGCAGGCAGCAATCACCGTCACAAACCGCTGACTGGCCTGGCGAGTAACAACACGGAGTAACAACATGGAGTAACAACACAGAGTAACAACATGGAATAACACTGAGTAACAACACAGAGTAACAATACGGAATATTTACATTCTGTATGCTTAGACCCATTGACAAAAATTACATTCATAAATGCATTACACAAGTGTTCATAGAATCTCGGCACGTGGGAACTGATAGTAACCTTATCACACTGCGTAGTAATACACTACAAAAACTACTCAATCGGAACGACCGACCTAGATGCTTAATTCTTACATCTTAAAATATTATTGAACTGTGCTTTATGAAATATCCACGTATTCACGTGTCCTGTGCTACAAATAAACATTGAATATGGAACTACATTTTGTTGTGTTATTGTTGTTGACGGTTGCTAAGATCTCTCACGATAGTGTCACATTTCCCCGCGAAAAAACACTGTTCTCGCCACTGCGTTGCACCCGCGTATAAGCAGGAACAAACCCTGTTTATTTGTTTTATTAGTTGTTATATCGATCCACTGAAAGGATTCGTCAATGTAAATATAAGGAATGATATTTATTTTTTCAACATTTATGAGGTCATAACAACAATGGGTTTATGGACAAATTGAATGAATCGCGTTATCATTCCTTAAGTAACAACACAGAAACAACACAGTAACAACACAGAGTAACAACACAGAGTTACAACACAGAGTAACAACACAGAGTAACAACACAGAGTAACAACACGAAGTAACAACACAGAGTAACAACACAGAGTAACACAGAGTAACAACACGGAGTAACAACATGGAGTAACACAGAGAAACAACACTGAGTAACAACACAGTAACAACACTGAGTAACAACACAGAGTAACAACACAGAGTAACAACACGGAGTAACAACACGTAGTAACAACACGTAGTAACAACACAGAGTAACAACATGGAGTAACAACACAGAGAGAGTAACAACACAGAGTAACAACACGGAGTAACAACACAGAGTAACAACAAGCAGTAACAACACAGAGTAACAACACTGAGTAACAACACGGAGTAACAACACGGAGTAACAACATAGAGTAACAACACTGAGTAACAACATATAGTAACAACATGGAGTAACAACACTGAGTAACAACACAAAGTAACAACACGGAGTAACAACACTGAGTAACAACACGGAGTAACAACACGGAGTAACAACATGGAGTAACACAGAGAAACAACACGGAGTAACAACACAGAGTAACAACACGGAGTAACAACACAGAGTAACAACACAGAGTAACACGGAATAACAACACGGAATAACAACACGGAGTAACAACACGGAGTAACAACATGGAGTAACACAGAGTAACAACACTGAGTAACAACACAGAGTAACAACACTGAGTAACAACACAGAGTAACAACTCAGAGTTACAACACAGAGTAACAACACAGAGTAACAACACAGAGTAACAACACGGAGTAACAACACAGAGTAACAACACGGAGTAACAACACAGAATAACAACACAGAATAACAACACGGAGTAACAACACGGAGTAACAACACGGAGTAACAACAGGGAATAACAACACTGAGTAACAACACTGAGTAACAACACTGAGTAACAACAGGGAGTAACAACATGGAGTAACAACACGGAGTAACAACACAGAGTAACAACACAGAGTAACAACACTGAGTAACAACACTGAGTAACAACACAGAGTAACAACACTGAGTAACAACACTGAGAAACAACACATAGTAACAACACAGAATAACAACACAGAATAACAACACGAAGTAACAACACAGAGTAACAACACGGAATAACAACACGGAACAACAACACGGAGTAACAACACAGAGTAACAACACAGAGTAACAACACGGAGTAAAAACACTGAGTAACAACACGGAGTAACAACACAGAGTAACAACACAGAGTTACAACACAGAGTAACAACACAGAGTAACAACACAGAGTAACAACACGGAGTAACAACACGGAGTAACAACACGGAGTAACAACATAGAGAAACAACACGGAGTAACAACATGGAGTAACAACACGGAGTAACAACATAGAGTAACAACACGGAGTAACAACATGGAGTAACAACACAGAGAGAGTAACAACACGGAGTAACAACATGGAGTAACAACACAGAGAGAGTAACAACACGGAGTAACAACACAGAGTAACAACACAGAGTAACAACATGGAGTAACAACACAGAGAGAGTAACAACACGGAGTAACAACATGGAGTAACAACACAGAGAGAGTAACAACACGGAGTAACAACACAGAGTAACAACACAGAGTAACAACATGGAGTAACAACACAGAGAGAGTAACAACACGGAGTAACAACATGGAGTAACAACACAGAGAGAGTAACAACACGGAGTAACAACACAGAGTAACAACACAGAGTAACAACATGGAGTAACAACACAGAGAGAGTAACAACACGGAGTAACAACATGGAGTAACAACACAGAGAGAGTAACAACACGGAGTAACAACACAGAGTAACAACACAGAGTAACAACATGGAGTAACAACACAGAGAGAGTAACAACACGGAGTAACAACATGGAGTAACAACACAGAGAGAGTAACAACACGGAGTAACAACACAGAGTAACAACACAGAGTAACAACATGGAGTAACAACACAGAGAGAGTAACAACACGGAGTAACAACATGGAGTAACAACACAGAGAGAGTAACAACACGGAGTAACAACACAGAGTAACAACACAGAGTAACAACATGGAGTAACAACACAGAGAGAGTAACAACACGGAGTAACAACATGGAGTAACAACACAGAGAGAGTAACAACACGGAGTAACAACACAGAGTAACAACACAGAGTAACAACATGGAGTAACAACACAGAGAGAGTAACAACACGGAGTAACAACATGGAGTAACAACACAGAGAGAGTAACAACACGGAGTAACAACACAGAGTAACAACACAGAGTAACAACATGGAGTAACAACACAGAGAGAGTAACAACACGGAGTAACAACATGGAGTAACAACACAGAGAGAGTAACAACACGGAGTAACAACACAGAGTAACAACACAGAGTAACAACATGGAGTAACAACACAGAGAGAGTAACAACACGGAGTAACAACATGGAGTAACAACACAGAGAGAGTAACAACACGGAGTAACAACACAGAGTAACAACATGGAGTAACAACACAGAGAGAGTAACAACATGGAGTAACAACACAGAGAGAGTAACAACATGGAGTAACAACATGGAGTAACAACACAGAGAGAGTAACAACACGGAGTAACAACACAGAGTAACAGCACAGAGAGAGTAACAACACGGAGTAACAACACAGAGTAACAACACAGAGTAACAACACAGAGTAACAACACACAAGTCAAAACTTCTCACTTGTCTCACAATTGTATAGCATATAATAGAATCAAAACTCAAAAAAAGTTTATTTGTATTTAAAATGAAAAATCATTCTATAGCAATCCTATAATTGAAAATAATATATTTGATTATTAAAACTTTCAAGGAAAAGAATATATAGTTAAACTTAGTTACACAGCCACAGTTTGTCCAGAAAATTGCTTATTTTAGATTAGTTGATGGTTACTTGGACAAATAAATGAAAGTACAATGACACATTAAAAGGTCTGGCATATTCATAATGTGAAGGAATTTTCTCCTATAGCTAAATTGCTGCAAACCAAATTATTGACATTCAGTTAGCTCAGAGTGAAGTAACCATACCGTGTCTATTCCATCCATCAGAGTAAGAAGAGTGGCCACCAGGCGTTTCTGAGACTCGTTCTGTGAGCTATCTCTCCGTGGAAACAGAGAATCAACGTCATCCATGATAATTATGCTTGGTGCCCTGTAACCATTTAAAAATAAATAGTCGTTACTCTCAAGATTGTTTATCAATGAATTTAGTAGAGTCACAAACACTTATATATACATCAACAATACACAAAGTTATTACTTGTAAATCTTTTATCTCTTTCTTCAATTTCTTCCAGATGTTTGCTTCAACTTGTTAATGCAAATTGTAACGGTCACATCGTTTTCTTTCATAATGAAAACATTTTTTTTTTTTTCATCATAACTTGCTTACATACCTTTCCTCAGCCTCTTTGAACACATTTCTGAGCTTTCCCTCAGATTCTCCATAAAATCTACAACAATAATCAAATGAATATAACTGTTCCTGGGTTTTTTCTTCAAAAGTCTGATGATAAAACACACTAGCGATTATGTAAACAAGTCATATATAATTGTCTGTATCCACTTACTTGCTAATAATGTCTGATGAACTGATCTCAATGACATTCACTCCTGTCTGATTGGCCACTGCCTTCAGCAACATGGTCTTCCCTGTGCCAGAAGGACCAAACACCAGGACACCTCGAGGCAAAGGCAGCCCTGTAGTGGTGTAAACGAGCAGGGTATATTATAGACACCTCGAGGCAAAGGCAGCCCTGTAGTGGTGTAAACGAGCAGTGTATATTATGGACACCTCCAGGCAAAGGCAGCCCTGTAGTGGTGTAAACGAGCAGTGTATATTATGGACACCTCGAGGCAAAGGCAGCCCTGTAGTGGTGTAAACGAGCAGTGTATATTATGGACACCTCGAGGCAAAGGCAGCCCTGTAGTGGTGTAAACGAGCAGTGTATATTATGGACACCTCGAGGCAAAGGCAGCCCTGTAGTGGTGTAAACGAGCAGTGTATATTATGGACACCTCGAGGCAAAGGCAGCCCTGTAGTGGTGTAAACGAGCAGTGTATATTATGGACACCTCGAGGCAAAGGCAGCCCTGTAGTGGTGTAAACGAGCAGTGTATATTATGGACACCTCGAGGCAAAGGCAGCCCTGTAGTGGTGTAAACGAGCAGTGTATATTATGGACACCTCGAGGCAAAGGCAGCCCTGTAGTGGTGTAAACGAGCAGTGTATATTATGGACACCTCGAGGCAAAGGCAGCCCTGTAGTGGTGTAAACGAGCAGTGTATATTATGGACACCTCGAGGCAAAGGCAGCCCTGTAGTGGTGTAAACGAGCAGTGTATATTATGGACACCTCGAGGCAAAGGCAGCCCTGTAGTGGTGTAAACGAGCAGTGTATATTATGGACACCTCGAGGCAAAGGCAGCCCTGTAGTGGTGTAAACGAGCAGTGTATATTATGGACACCTCGAGGCAAAGGCAGCCCTGTAGTGGTGTAAACGAGCAGTGTATATTATGGACACCTCGAGGCAAAGGCAGCCCTGTAGTGGTGTAAACGAGCAGTGTATATTATGGACACCTCGAGGCAAAGGCAGCCCTGTAGTGGTGTAAACGAGCAGTGTATATTATGGACACCTCGAGGCAAAGGCAGCCCTGTAGTGGTGTAAACGAGCAGTGTATATTATGGACACCTCGAGGCAAAGGCAGCCCTGTAGTGGTGTAAACGAGCAGTGTATATTATGGACACCTCGAGGCAAAGGCAGCCCTGTAGTGGTGTAAACGAGCAGTGTATATTATGGACACCTCGAGGCAAAGGCAGCCCTGTAGTGGTGTAAACGAGCAGTGTATATTATGGACACCTCGAGGCACAGGCAGCCCTGTAGTGGTGTAAACGAGCAGTGTATATTATGGACAGCTGGAGGCAAAGGCAGCCCTGAAGTGGTGTAAACGAGCAGTGTATATTATGGACACCTAGAGGCAAAGGCAGCCCTGTAGTGGTGCAAACGAGCAGTGTATATTATGGACACCTCGAGGCATAGGCAGCCCTGTAGTGGTGTAAACGAGCAGTGTGTATTATGGACACCTCGAGGCAAAGGCAGCCCTGAAGTGGTGTAAACGAGCAGTGTATATTATGGACACCTAGAGGCAAAGGCAGCCCTGTAGTGGTGCAAACGAGCAGTGTATATTATGGACCCCTCGAGGCAAAGGCAGCCCTGTAGTGGTGTAAACGAGCAGTGTATATTATATCAAAGAATTGATTTTGAATTCCTTGACTACCAAATCTAAATAAAAATTGTGAAATAATATCTATCATTTAATTTGCAAACTCACTTACCACCAATATAAATCAAAGTCCACTATTTTTTTCTTCTGCTCATCAGATATAACAGGAAATATACAACCGTCAGCAAACAATGTAAACTCAGATCCTCTGAACTATAGAAAAATCAACCTAGTAGTTCAAATGCTCTGTACATCAAATAATTTCCATGAAAACATGTCATAAATGGCGTGGGGATCATAATGGAAATAATTGTGTACTCTGCTATACGTTTTTTAGTTCTTCTTGTAAACAGTGAAATATAATAATGAAAATGTGTTGGTCAAGGAACGGCTTTAGTGTGACATCATTTTACCCAAGATAAGCCCAAGGCTTCTCCTCGTTGAAAAGGGAGATAATTAGACAGCCATTCCTAAATGTTAATACAAGTACAAGTAGAAAGGGCTTTTTTCAAGACATGATATGTCTGCTTGACAGAGGAGCAAGCTAAACACTATAAACTTTTTTTTTAGACTTTCTCACTAGTTAATTAGGCTATGATCAAGGCAACAAGACAACATGTACAATGAACTGACAAAGCACATATTCTAGCTACAATCTATCAAAATTGCTTTAATTTAAATGAAATTACATCATTTAGTGCACATAGAAGAAAACCAACTTTTTTGCTAAAATAGACATGGTCACCGACATACAACTTAGGCCTTCCTTTCTATCATTACACATTTACTGACCATATGCACTGAACACTTCTGGGGACTGTAGGGGTAGGTTTATCATCTCCTTCAAAGATTGTATCTGCTTTGACAAGCCTCCAATCAAATCAAATGTAACAGATTTCTTCTTCCGCGACTCCGTCACTTCATCAGTGATTGGTTTAGAAATGACCACCTTTGTATTTGAAGTCACTTTATAGAATGTTTTATGAACATTTTCCATAGTGCCTGAAGTTGTTATCTTTTGAGGTGTCTGAAAGTTTGCCTCGATCAGTGACCCATTTTTTACATCTGGAGTACTTGAAGAGGATGGAGAACAAACACTGTCAGTACTGAAGCTACTGCTGTCTGAGCCCTTCAGTGGTGTAGACGGAACATTTGTGTTAGATTTGTCAAGAAAAGAGAGACTGGAGTCACTAGACAGATCAAGCTGTGATAAGTCCATAGTTAGGTCTTGTAGTCGGCTTTCCTTAATGTCTCTATGACATGGTATATGGACTTTCTTCTCACTTCCAGTCCACTGACTGATCTCTGTCACTTGAAGCTCACATTTTTGTCCATAATAAGACAAACTTACATCATTTCCAAGAGTCAGGAATCTTCCACCTAGTAAAAGAAAGCTATGAATTGAGATCAAAAACAAATAAATAAATTATTCGAAAAATTGTTAAACAAATTCATATTTTTTTTCCTATATATATATGTATTTCACATATGATTTGCATTGTATGTTTAATAATACCTAGAACAGTCTGATCATATGGTTGTGTATCACAATTAACTATTCCAGTCTCTGTTAAACCTGACGTTTTGGTGTATCACTCAATTAACTATTCCAGTCTCTGTTAAACCTGACGTTTTGGTGTATCACTCAATTAACTATTCCAGTCTCTGTTAAACCTGACGTTTTGGTGTATCACTCAATTAACTATTCCAGTCTCTGTTAAACCTGACGTTTTGGTGTATCACTCAATTAACTATTCCAGTCTCTGTTAAACCTGACGTTTTGGTGTATCACTCAATTAACTATTCCAGTCTCTGTTAAACCTGACGTTTTGGTGTATCACTCAATTAACTATTCCAGTCTCTGTTAAACCTGACGTTTTGGTGTATCACTCAATTAACTATTCCAGTCTCTGTTAAACCTGACGTTTTGGACATGACTCTTTGGTCTGGTAAAATCTGAACAATTTCAATTTATTTTGGCAAAGAAGCAAAAACATCAAAATTGCTTTGGCCACAAAAAATATTTGTTTCCTCATTTTGTTTGAAAAAAAAAATTGGGTCGGTAGACTGGGCATTTTATTTTTATATATTTTACTTTGCTGATGCAGAGTAGGAGTTCTGACTTTAACAGTGCTTATCACTAAATGCCAAAAAAAACTTAAGTGTAGGCACAAATATCTAGGGTTCACAGGTAGGGAAACCGGAACAACAATTCTGTTTATTTGCCTTATCTTTCATGCTTTAAAGCAGAAGATTAAAGAATACATACACATACGGTTCTTGAGGTATTTCTCAAATTGATCATCTCCATAAATATCATTCCATTCTCTAGAAGAAAAAAACAATAAAAAAGTATCAGAAAATTATGAAGTTAGGGTAACCTGTCAAACTAAAAAGTTATGGTCTGCAGGAATAAAACTGGCTTAATGGAAATTGTTAAAATCATTGAATATTTTGTTCTTGTGGTAGTTATTATAAGATAGTATGTATATATGTTAAAAAAAAAAAAAAAAAATATAGGAGAGGAATTGATCATCACTATTTAATCAACTATAAATAATAACATTGTTCTGTGTAACAAGCCCCAAAAAAAATAAAAAAATAAAAATACAGAGGAAATTATGTCACTACAAAATATGTAGTTTAATGTTAGATTCCCTCCTTCGGACAAATAAATGTCATTTTTGTTACAAGCATTCATGAGTTTGGTTTAAGTGTGTGCGTTCATAGTGATTTACTTATATTAGGATTGCGCCTCAGGGGAGATAATAAAAACATCTACATATTAAAAATTATTTTTCTCAGAAAAATAAGTCACAATTTATCACCAATCAACTTTCATAACAAATAAGTTGTTCCATCAATTTATTTAAAACAAAGATTCATTGAATAATTGATCTCACCTTGGTGACAATATCAGATGTGCAGCCAATAGTGGTGTAGATTGTATAGCAGTGACCGAGGCCAGTTCTCCTGACTGTCTCCCTAACATCTTCAGGGTGGTTACAGGGACTTGTATAGATCCGGGTGCTACTGAAGCTGAGGGCCATGCTATCCTCACATACTGCTCATCAACAATACATGGCTTTCCAATTGAAAGGCCACACATCATCATAGAACTGACATTCAGTAAGATTACATCATCTTGTAGCTGACTAGGCAGACTTGGTCCTGTCATAAAATAACAAAAATTAAACTTAAAATTTACTGTACTGTTCAACTTCTGTAATCTTCTCTTTTTGTTTATAAAGATTAGTCATTATATATATATATATATATAAAAACTAGCTGCTTTCACCCTTCACAGGGCTCTTCAGGTTTATTCAAAAGAACAACGTCGTGACGTCACAATTAATTGTCATCACACTACAATAGTAACGTGACGTCACGAAGTACACAAGATTGGTGGACAATTTGGCGTAAAATTTTATTGTGGCCTGTTGAGACTGTTATATATATATATAAGCATTTCTCTATGGGCTTAAAAGTTACTTCTACAGATATCAGATAATGAACTTTGAATATTTCCTGTTTAAAAAGGTGATTCATAATTAACCTTTGATGTTTGGTAAGTTTGTTGCATGTCCTCAGGTCGTAGCACCATTTCATACAAAAACAAGAGTACTGAACAATATACGCCCGTCGAATGCCATATAGTATTACATTGAAATAATATCTGCATTATTCTAAGAGTGGGTAGCTGATATTCTATAAAAAATGTAGAAGAAAATCTCCGGACAAAAAATCAAATCCTGAAATGAACAAAGGGCAATAACTTTTGGAAGAATTGTCAAATCAAAATTCTTATAAGGGAGACACAATTTCATATCATGATTATAATGTATACCAAGTTTCAAACAGATCCGTTGAAAAATGTAGGAGAAGATTGCCGTACAAAAATCAAATACTGAAATAAACAAAGGGCAATAACTTTTGGAAAAATTGTTGAATCAAAATTCTTTTAAGGGAGACACAACTTCATGTCATGATTATAATGTATAAAAATGTAGGAGGAGATTGCCAGACAAACAATAGTTTAGCCCGGCCGGCCGGATGGACGGCCAACCCCATACCATAATACTTCCGTCAAATTTGACGGACGTATAATAAACATGAAAAGTCCTGTTCATAGCACCACTTGATCATAATAAGCAGAAATAATCCTGGTCATAAAACCACATTGTCATAAGGACAGGAATAATCCAGGTTATAGCAATGTTCACATGATAAAGAAATGCAATAATCCTGGTGAAACACCACTGTTTCTTGTAATAGGGCGAGATTAATGCAACAGGAACAACAGTAAACCTTAAAACATCTGATATCTCTAAAGAAATTGATCACCTTAATTGAGTCAGTCTCAGTTCAATGCAATCATACATTCAACAGATCAGACCACAATATTATTACCTGAAACTTATGACATGTAAAGACACACATTCAACCTTAAGTAAGGTAATTTGTCAACGAAAAAAACAAGGCCAAAACAAAACGAATATACCAGTGTTTCTGATAATATCTGTGGAAATAGTTAGAGAGGTTCAAAAAATTTGGTTTGGCAAATTGGGATAATGTTGTTGCATTGTTGGGATTTGGTTGACATTTTTTATTGTAGACTAATTAGTCGTGCCAATAATTACTTTTAAAACTATAATTCAGTTTACGTCATGCTTAAGTTCAAATCAAACCAGTTTAAGATCAGCATTGCATAGAAACTAATCAACAATAAACCAATCAAGTATTTATTTTTTTACATCAGGACATTGCATAGCCAGAAGCACATTATTGTCATCCTTTCCCGAAAGAGGACACTCCATGCCAGTTTATAACTGATGACAACTCTTTTGAGGAGAAGAAAATCTGATGTATGACCAATAAAACAGCTGTTGAACCAAACACACAGACGAATGTTTTTCCCAGTGATTGACTATATTTGCTTGTCACCATGAGTATGATGCAACTCAATCATAGACAGATAATGGCATTTTTTTATAATTCATAAAAAACATCATATATCAATTGTAAAAGCAGATCTGCTGATTGAAGATTCGTGAAGGAAATAAATAATGCAAAAGAATGTATATTCTGTACATATTTAAAATTTGTGAATGACGTATACTGTACCCACTTACATATATACCATTTAATGCAAAGAAACCCTTAGGAACTTATATTACCATCCACCGAATTATAAGGGGAAATAACTCCATACAAGGTGTCATTCCAAATATAACCATGCTGAAACTGGTCCTTCTCCTTTGTATTCTGGCACCCTTTCGAGTGTTTTGATAAATCCTTTGTGTTTATGATACACAAACAACGAACGCATTGCTGCCATTCCGGCTTTGGAGTCTTTGACTTTGCTGGCATAACGAGTTCTCTCGCAAAGAAACATCCAGCAATCTGCTTTCACTTTGTCCACACGTGCAGTAATCTCGCGAGACTATAAAAGCAACATCGAAAACAATTTTCCTTTCCTTTCCCCCTCCATTCTTGCTTGTTTTTGACCTGTACATTTAGCCATTGAAATTAAATATGAACATTTCAATGACGAAACTTATTTCACTTTACGTATTTTATCAAAAATGTTTTCAATGATATTCGTTGAGTCACGTGATTCCAAACGAGAATACGTCGCCATTTTGTATTATCGTATGGACGTTTAAGCCTGCGTCTGTAAACACATGTTGACCGACTAGAAATTAAGGAATAATTCTTGTACGAGTCGTAAAAGCGTACAGCTGATGTCGAGGAGGAAGACGATGATCTGAAGCTGCTTTATATTCACTGACTTACAGCTTTTTACATAAAAATGATTGTCGAAAATCTGGACGCGTTGAAAATCTGGCTCACCAATACGTTAACTCCAATGTAAGAAATATACACCGATGAATATTTGACGAAGTCGTCATGACATGATCAGTAATGGTTGCATTCATTTTTCAACATGTTTAATGATATAATATCATGATTTTCAATGATTTACTGTACACAATTTCACTTCCTTTCAAACAAAGTGAGACATGTTTTCGGACCATATGCGGGATAGCGGGGATGGGTCCTCCTTAAAAGCGTCTTCAACTGACAACAAGCGTCTTCAAGTGACAACAAGCGTCGCCAGACAAAATCTTTTAAAATACTGAATAAAGTAAGCGACATCAGAAGATGTGTTGTTAATATGACAATAATACACCTCTGTACCAAATTTCAGCTCGATATTCGATAAAATGACCGAGTTATGATGAATTGAAATTTTACGATCGCGGCGTGGCTCATGTGTGTATACGCATGTAAAGTGAAGAAAGCGTCGCCAGATAATATCGTAACAATTACTCGCTAAAGTAAGCCACATCAGAAGATATGTTATTAGTTAGACTTTTATTGATATACATGCCAAATTTCAGCTCGATATTTGAGAAAATGATCGAGTTATGATTAATTTATTATTACGATCGGCGGTGTGACACACGTGTGTGAATAGAACTCAACATATCAAGAAGCGTCTTCAGAACATATCTCTAAAATTAATCGATAAAGTAAGCGACATCAGAAGATATGTTATTCATATAACTATGATACACCTTTATACCAAATTTCACTTAGATATATGAAGAAAATACCGAGTTATCGTGAATTTATTATTTTACTATCGTCGGCTTGGCACGCGTGTGTTAATAAAACTGTACAGATCAAAAAGCGTCTTCAGACATTACTTCTTAAAATAATTGATAAAGTAAGCGACATCATGAGATATGTTATTCTTATGACTATGATACAACTATATACCAAATTTTAATTTGATTTGTTGAAAAATGATTGAGTTATCGTGAATTTAATTCATACGATGTACAGATTTTAAGCTAGACGCCGTGCCACATTTGTGTACGTAGGGTATACGTAGGGCTTCGCATAGGCAGATACGTGTATGTGTTATACGTCTCTGACATAGGTGAACACAGTTAGAATATATTGCTATATAAACATTGATACACCTTTAATCAGCTGTGTCAAGAATAACATTATTGTATTTATTGAACAATTTAGATTTTAATTGAACCCATTAAGAATACATTTAACAATGTGTTTAATTATATATATTTTTTTATTATAAATAATATAGTTGGAGGGGGATGCGTCATTTTCGAGTTTCTCAGGTCTTTTTTAAAAAGATTGTGGCCCTGAAAAGGGCCGTTTAAGCAGGCGACTAACTTAGTCTTTGACAGAACAACGCTAGTCGCTGCTCTTTTTATAGCGCATATAACAATAGAAATAACTCAATGGTACGTACTTTCCTATTGGTAGACCAATATCGATCCACATGTTATCAGTTATGCTAAGCGAAACAAAAA